AAATGTTGAAATCTGATGAAAGACATGATTCGGGATGTGTTAATGAGGAGCTTGAGAAAAGAGTTATGAATGCTGAATCACGTGTGCGAGAGCTTGAGGAAAACCGGGAATGTATTCTTGAAGAACTCGAGAGCTTAAAAAGTGAGCATTCGACATGTGCAGATGCAATTTCAACCTGTAAATCCAAGACTGAATCGATAGGCGATGAAATGAATGATAAAATATCAAAATTGACCGAAGAAAGACATGCTTTAGATTGTGCTAACAAGGAGCTCGAGAAAAACCGGGAACAGATTCTTGGAGAGTTTGAGAGCCTTAAAAACGAGCATTCGACATGTATCGATACAATTTCAACCTGCAAATCGGAGATTGAATCAATACGCGATGAAATGAACAATGAAATCTCAAAGTTTATAGAAGAAAAACATGCTCTGGATTGTGTTAATGGAGACCTTGAGAAAAGGGTTGTGATTGCAGAAACACGTGTGCAAGAGCTCGAGAAAAACCGGGAACAGATTCTTAAAGAATTCAAGAGCTTAAAAAACAAGCATTCGACATGCAAATTTGAATCTGAATCAATACACGATGAAATGAAGGATAAAATTTCAAAATTTACCGATGAAAAACATGATTTGGAACGTGTTAACAGAGAGCTGGAGACAAGGGTTAAAACTGCTGAGTCAGCACTTGTAAGGGCCCGGTCGAATTACTCGATTGCAGTGAGTCAATTGCAGAAGGACCTTGACATGTTATCGGGCCAGGTTGCTTCCATGTTTGAGACTAATCAAAATCTGATTAAAGGAACTTTTTCAGAATCTTTGATAATCGAAAATGATAATGAAAAACATGAAAAGAAGGATCCTGAAAGGGAAGGAGAAGGGGGGTCTGAATCATTACGTATGGCCTTCATGAAAGAGCAATGTGAAACCACAGTGCAAGAACTAAAGCAACAACTTTTGGTTTCCAAAAGGGATGCTGATAACATATTGTTTAAATTACAAGATGCCCTAGATGAGATTGATAGTAGGAAGAAATCCGAAGCTTCTTACTTGAAAAAGATTGAAGAATTGTCTTTCAAGGTTGTGGGATTGGAAGCCGAGTTAGAATCTTTACATTCTGAACTCGAATGTGCTCTTTTGAATCTTGAATGTTGTAAGGAAGAGAAACAAAAGATTGTTGCTATAATGGAAGAATGTGAAGAGGAGAAGATGAAAATTGCATTTGAACTTTCTTTGTTGCAAGACCAGATTGCCACTAAACAAAAGATGGCTGGTGACAAAGCACAAATCAACAAGGTAAAACTAATCATCTCTTAGTTTTGACAATGAGGAGGGCATTAGCGTCTTTTTCCACATTTTTTTTGGGTGTCATTGACATTTGTTGTTGTAGTGCAGTTGGAGGGGTTGAAGAAGGAGAGATCCATTCTTTCAATGATGAGTAGTGGCTCAAATTTTCAAGATTTACAGAGAGAACTTGTGCAACTACACAAGGTGATCTCAGCAAAAATACAGAAAAACATAACATTAATTAATTATCATTTTTATTGGTTATGATTGTTAGTTTGTTGCTTCTTAAGGCTAATGAAGAGCTCGGGGGAATATACCCAAATTTTACGGATCTCCCGGGAGATGGAAATGCATTAAAGAGGGTGCTTGCATTGGAAATCGAGCTTGCTGAAGCACTGACATCAAAGAACAAATCCAGCATCCAAAGGTAAAATTAAGTAATCATAACTCAATTTTGACCAAATAGAGTTTGAAAGTCAAACAAACTAACATGAATTATATATTTTCAGTTCTTTCCTTAAACAACACAGCGATGAGGAAGCGGTTTTTAAAAGCTTCAGAGACATCAATGAGGTGATCAAAGACATGTTGGAAATGAAGAACAAATATGTAGATGTGGAAAATGAACTGAAGGAGATGCATGAACGCTATTTGGAGTTGAGTCTGCAGTTTGCTGAGGTGGAAGGTGAGAGACAAAAACTTATGATGACAGTGAAGAACTCAAGATCACCCTCCATTGGAAACCCTAGATAAGATAAAGATAACAATCTTTTGTACTATGTAGAGTCTTAATTAGTCTATCATAATATTGTTATAAAATCAGCAGAATCTGTGAATAGGTTTCGGGTTTAGCTGCAAGTGTGTAAATGGGTTTAGTTGCAGACATTTTAACCATGTTTTTGGGTGTTTGAAGTTTTTCTTTTAGTGAGATCCATGTTGTGAATTGTAATTCATATTCTGATATTAGTAGAAAGGTTTGATTCTTTTATTGGTGATTTGGTGGTTGTTTTTAGTCATTCCATTAATGTAATAACAAGATAAACATCGCTTATCTGTGTCATTTTAGTTGAACAATTATCGTTTATGTTGATTGATGTTTATCGCATATCAACAAGTAATTTGCCATTTATATTGCATATCTTATATGATGTAGGACACTTTACCTGTTACCACTCTTGAGTCTTGTCATTATCATACATGTAACAAAAAGAGGGAACAAGTTAGAAAAGGTTACATCGTTTTCTGCTATATTCTCGCATCATATTATCTTCTCTAACCACCTTGGATGTCTGAAAGGTCACCCAATTCGTTTGTATCAATCATGATCTTTCATTGCTATTGAGACTTAAATTCAGTCAACTACTAATAAAAGAAAAACAATTAAGAAAATAGAAAAAGGATAAAAGAATAGAAGAAGGTAATTTTGTCATTTTACAAATACTTAACCTCCATTTCTTTTAATGGTGTTAGACATAAAGACCTTGTGCAAGATTTTAAAACCACATGACCAGCCATTCTCATAATGACTTGTGATATCTTTTGCCAACAACAAGGACCATTTGTGTAATTTTGTCTTTAAAATATCCAACTTGTGAATCCCTTATAATATGTGTACCCGAGTTATGTATTTTACATTTATTACCTTTTACAAACAAAAACAATAAGGATCTGTTTGATTTATGTTTTAATGGTCCAGTAACTCGGTCTAGTAAAAACGTTTGATATAAGACATTTTTACCCTCTTAATTAGTCCTAATGACTCTTATCCGGTCATACCAAAAAAGAAGTTGACCGGAGACTAAGGTTGCGTTTAGTTACGGAAAAACAATTTTCATTTTCTGTTTTTCGTTTTCCCTTTTCATATTTCGTTTTCCGTTTCCGGTTTTCATTGGAAAATTTAGAAAACGCGTTTAGTTAAAACTTATTCATTTTTCATTTTCAGTTTTAGAAAATTAGAAAACGTGTTTAGATGTGTATTTTTCTATCAGTTTTCATTTTTAGAAAACGGTAACGGTGGTAGGGTGAGCGTGGGGACGGTGGCGGTGGTGGGGGCAGTGGTGGTGGTGGTGGAGGTGGTGTGTGTGTGTGTGTTTGTGGGGGTGGGCTTAGGAGTGAGTGTGGGTAGGTAGGGGTGTGGTGGGTTGGGGGTGTTAAGGTGAGGGTAGGTAGAGGTGGATGGGGTGGGAGTGAGTGTTTATATTTTAGAAAAATTTTGGAATTAGAAAAATATGGAAAACAATGATTATCGGTTTTCCAAGAATTTCCAACTTTTTTGTAATTTTAGAAAATGGAAAGTTTTCATTTTCCGTGAAAAATTTAGAAAAAGAGACGAACTAAACGCGTTTTCAAAATTCTCATTTTTCTTGGAAATTTTTTCCGGAAAATGGCCCATTTTTCCGCAACTAAACGCACCCTAAGTGTTTTATTCCCTTTTCTAACCCTTTCTACGCGTAGGCTCCATTGAAACCGGATAAAGTAATTCAAATGATTTTTTTTTTCGATAATTTGTTTTGACAGATGATAAGTTAATAAACATTTTTACTAAAAAGAAAAAGTTTTTTTTTTCTTTTTTAAACAAGCAATCTCAAACACCCCTTTAAACATTCTCACCAAACAAAGCCAAGCGACAGGAAGTGTCAACCATCTACTCTACTTTCTTTATAATCAAATGTTTAAACATTTTGTTCTAACCATAACATTTTAAATGGATTAAGATTTTAATAAAACCAAGTTCATTTTGAATTTTATATATCAAACCATATAAATTAATGGACCAACGAAACCAATGTTTTAAAACCTGATTTTTTAGTTTAACCAGTCACCCGGTTCAACATTCAACAGGTTTGACAGTCAATTCAATCAATAATTTTTTCTATATCTGTCGGTGGTCTGCGTCGGCTTTTGAGTTGTGTAGACTCTAAGAAAGTTCAATTTGCTTTAGAAATGAGTTGTTTTTTTTAACTGGCTAGTCAAATTCAACTATACAAGTCCGGTAAACCAGCTAAAACGGTTTTTTACCGATTCTATCATGCCGGTTCAACCTAGTTTTCGAAGAAACCGTCCGATTCAATACGGTCTAGAAATTGACATAAAACCGGTTGTTATTAAACCGCTCTCGTCTCCGATTCCCGGTTCGAACCGGTTTTTAAAACATTGAACGAAACTAAATCGCTTTGATTAGATAGATTTGATCAAAATTTCCATTTTAAAAAAAATAATATATAAAATCCACATAAACACAATTATAATTAATTTTGATTGGCCAAGTATAAAATCTCAAAATCGAGTGAAATTGAGAACATCTTATCAAATTACAGTTGTATTAATTGAGAATTTATTTAGAAAAATAGTAATAACAATGTTCTTTTATTATTTATTTTTTTCTACTAATATAAATAACGTACATTATTTTTAGTATTTGTAGTTCTTTATCTATATTATATTAGCAGCATATATACATATATTTCTTTTACCGATAACAGCAAAATATAACTTGAAATTATAAAATATGATTTGTTTTTACTAGTAACAGTAATGTGCTTACATATCATTCAAATACTTATAATCTTACTCGTACTAGCAATGTAACATTTCTTTACCAATAATAACCATATTATAAGCAAATAATAAACAGTGTCCTTATTCGTAACGAAAGGCAAGTACATTATTATTTAGGAGAAATTTTATGGGAAAACCTATTTCTTTTACTTTTTTACCTGAATAATAAATATAATTTTGTTTAATGGAGCGTAAGTAGATGAAACTTAAACTCAAGACAATCAAGTCATTTTGGTCTTACAAAGTTTTCCTATATACACATTCATTCAAACATACAGCCAGAGTTACTCGCTCTTCACCCCTTACAGATCCCAAGTCAAAGTTCCAAACATATATATCCAAAAGTCAACTCATTACATCACATATCCTTGAAAGCTTTCTTTTAAGTTTTATCCATTGAAGGCTCGGGCAGTCTCCCGGTCAAAGAATTGCACACGGGCAGCTGCCCTGTTTCGGAAAGCCATCTTGCAACTTATCTGTCAATTGTCACACACAAAAAAGTCCAAACATGTCAAGTCTTTCACTTTCAACATCAAAAAATACTAATTTTGACCTTCAAATTTCATACCGACACTTTAGATATTCAAAATCTGTGATATACTTACCAATCCAATTTTTCAACAAAATATATATATATATATATATATATATATATATATATATATATATATATATATATATATATATGGAGCGTATGAAATGATAATAGGTTTGACCTAAAAAGTCAAACCAAAACCAAAACCACCATCTTTTAGTAAAGTTGAAATGGATGAGTTATTTGGTTACCATTGTTTTTGTGTGGGATGTGAGGGCGCACCACAACAAGCATGGTGATGATTCCTCCTGGAACTTCACTCACGGGAGACCGGGACTCTGCAAGTGTTTTATCATTTTCCAGTATTTTTCCCGCATTAATCAGCTTCACATCATTTATTGTCTTCGGCCCATTTACTTCATCTGTTATTGTTAACAAATTATTTCACCATTAAATACTATGACATAACACATTAAATACTGTCTAATAATAACATACCTGAAAATAGAAACTTAACAAAATCCACACAAAAAAGTTCAACAAATATCTAGCAAGAGTTATTAGCCCTTCTTATTTATTCCTCCTAACTCCTCTCACCTTAAAATTGATCAATATTGTTAAAATTAATGAATATTGTGAAATTTGTTGGAATGCAACGGTAAATTGATTATTTAGTCTCATTCAGATGGATTGGTGTTCAGTCTAGAAAAGAAACAGACCTTATCCATACATTGTTCACAAATGAAATTTAGGGAAGTGTTACCCGTATTTTGTGTATTAGGTGATGAATTCTAAAAAGGGTAATCTGTTGTATTGAATATTGATGAAAAAACGACAATGAAGCCGACTTAATTTACTCGGTGTCAGTAGGTGGTGCTCATCAACTCACGGATTAGATGAGAATATGATCACAACTTCTTAATCTTCTTTTTTCTTCTTCAAGATAATTAAACTTCAAGAACCAAATCTTCAATTCATAAAAACAAAGACTCAAGAAACACATATTTACACTACAAAAACGAAACTTGAAGAATAAGACATCACAAAATTTAACACAAGTTGCCAGAAATCATCGAATTTCAGTTTAAAGAACATATAGCTATATAAATACCTCAACAACAGTAACATTTAAATTAAAATCAGTCTTGGAGGCAGAAAATGAACAAAAATAAAGAAAGTTTGGATATTGAATTAACCTTGGGGCAATTGTGAAAGTATCATTTCTTTCAAAGATCCCACAGTGGTGCTAGGACTGTATTTGCTTGGGCCAATATCACTGCCATCAGCTAACCTGAATTTCACCTCAATAAGTTCTTGAGAACCCATATGATTTCAACCCACTTCAAATTCTCATAACCCACTTGAATTATTCCAAAAAAAATTCAACTTTTTATGGATTAAGTGAAAACCCAGATGAAATATAACAAAATCTAATGAAAAACAAAGCTTTTTGTTGGTTTTTGATCAGAGAGAACAAGTGATGAAATGAGTTCAAATTTGACAAAATGGAGATCTGATAGATGGATGAATATAAAGGGGTGAGGCTGAGAGAATAAGAAGGTTTCTTGACATACAAAGAAAGGGAATGAACAAATAAAACAAAAACAACTCTTATGACAAGGGAACCTTTCTTCTTTTTCCATGAATATTTTAACATATTTACAATCCTTTTTTTTCATTAATTTAATAAAAAAGATTCTATATTTTAGTGTGTACTATAATAGTAGTGTATAAATGAATGAACCAACATTGAGCATAAATGATGATTAATATATAATGAATTTAATGATTAATGATGAGTTGTAACCTAAAATCAAGTAACAGGGTTAGAAATGTTCATCCTTTCCAAGTACAGGGTCTTCTTGTGACTTTTCAGAGTACAATATTGTCAAGATGCAAAATGTCAAGTAAAATTACAAAAAAGTAATTTGGTCGATGGTAAGATTAATTATAACACTTGTCTGTTTCTCACTCGAGACCTGTAACAGCAGGATCCAACTAAGATATTAATTGACTACTAATTTCCAAACAAGTACTATTGTCCAAATAATAATAATTGTGTACTCATTTATACATCAATATACCAATTATTGTTATTTACAAAAAGAATACTACTTTCATACTAGTATAATATAAAGGCAACATTTGACTAAACACAAAATTTAATAACAAACTTTACTACTACTTAAATATTTATATTATTCTTTGGATATAAACAAATAGAAGAATCTTGTAAAAACAAAATTGGTGCAATTAGTGTTTTGTATGTTTACTGATGAGCATTAGTATGATCATTGTGTAGTCAAAGACTTACTATAAGACAAAATGGAATAAGATAAAATGATCAGAAAATATGAAAAATCAACATAAGCATGCCAAGTTATTAGTTATAATTTCAACTTCATATACATGTAAATATGATTATCAAAGCTATTACTTAAACTAATGATTTAAATTTTTTTGCAAGATTTTTTTTTTCAAGACTCAAGTCTGAATAAATTTAAAATTGTGTCCTTTTGGTCAATATTTAAAGTGTACCTATTTCACACAATAGAATCCAACCCTAAAATCGACAAATATTCTAATAAATGAGTTGGAATTTGGCCCTTCTGAGGAGACCATGTGCTAGTTTCTGTAGGAGAGCTGAACTATGAGTTAGCTTACTGGTCAGACTGTAATCTATCGTTTAAAAACTGCATCACGAATTGTACCTGTTATGGGCATAGGATTCAGTTCCCCTCGAAGTTACGGAGTGAACTGATTTGTGGAAAGATCTCAAACAACCATGAATTCTGAGAATGCTGACAAATTGGTCGTCGTACGATTTGGAAGCGTTAAAACTCTACGGCAAAGGCAATTATTCTTTGTCGGAAGAACCATCACCAGAGTGACATCAAGTGATCAAAGTGATTGGTGAAGAACAGGTCGTCTCGCCGAGTGACATCAAGATGAATGGTTGATGGTTAGGGTTTGAATATCAATATTGAGGGCATCAGATAGCTGGAAGCAGTAGATGAGAAGAAAAGGATCCGCCATGCGTTGGCTTGGACAGGAGCAGAAGAGTAGAAGCTCTGGGTTCCTCGGAGGTTAGATAATCGACGTTACTAGGGTTTTGATATACTCCCCGTCCCCAACGTATATTGCACTAAAATGTTATATAAATTCGTTCTAGAATTTGAAAACGATGTTACGATGGAAAAAGGGCCTATTGACATTTCACTGTGTTAGTATCACGACATCATGTTTCTAGAGAATCTCCCAACAGTCAAATAATTGAAATCTCATCATGCAATTCACAATAGGAATTCAAGTTGTACAGAGTGAATATTTATATAACACCGACCAGTTATAACCCGTGTACTATATGGATGTTTGTGTAAAACAACTTTAAAAAATAATAGACATCATTAATAATAAATTTGCAAAATAGCAATTTACTTTCATTAAATTGCTTAATTTAACATCCTATTTTCATATTTTGTTATTAAACTAGGTGTGAGATTCGCGTACTACACGTGTTTAATAAAAATAAAAATTTAATATCAATATTTAAACATTAAATATTTTATAAAATAATTCTTTTCATAACATAATGTAATCTTTTGGAACATTAAATAAAATAAATTAAATATTATTTAGAGCATTTATGAGACTTTATTATCAAATTAATTGAATGATTCTCTTTGCTTATAAAACTCGTTAGAATTTTGTGGAACTTTATTTTAAAAAAATAGAAATTCTAAAAAAATGACAAGTGGAAAATAGTAATCCTAAAACTTCTACAAAATTACATGTGGCCAAACTCTTGACAATTTGACAAGTAGCAAAAAACTTTTCATTTATCAAACAGGATTAGTGTAATAAACTTCAATAACACATGAAAAATAAATACTTATGTCAGTACTTTCATTCATTTATCTCTTAAAGCATGGTAATGTACTTCATTTATTTGAAAAATAAAAACTTGCATTTTATTATCACTTAGGCATAAAAACACAAAAATAAAGAATCCCTAAAATGAACACTTACCCACGGTCGATTGCGTCACATTTTACATATACAATGCATGAAGTTCAATTACTATAAAGTAAATGGTAGGTATTTTTATAGTAAAATATTAAAAACTAGATGTGAAACCCGTGTATTACACGGGTTTATTAAAAGAAATTTTGGTAACCACAAAGACCATGTTTATAAAAAAAAACAAGTAATAATTGAGTTTGTGACCTTTTGGTAAACCGTATGGATTATTTATGTAATTTGATCCTAATTAATCTATACTAATAAAATTAATTAATATGAATTCACAAATGGAATCTACTATCTACATTAATATACATATATATTAATTAATATATTAATAGAAAGAGGAATTCAAAAATAGAAAGTTATTATGTACATTAATTAATATGTTTATAAAATTAATTAATATGAGGTGAAATTTAATAGGTGAGATTTGAATAAAAAAGAAATAAACTATAAAAATGACAAGTGGATATTAAATAATTCAAAAAAAAATCTAAAGAATGACAAGTGTCAAAATGAAGGAGAAGATGACATGTGGCAAAATCATTCTTATTTATTAGGGTAGATTGTGGTTCCAAAAATACAAATATACGCTCACTCATGTGAAAGCTCAAAGTATTTACCAATGTTTACCAATGGGCAACTCTTCTTTGAAATAAATTTCATATATATAAAAACAGTTAATGTTGAAACTCAAAAATAGAAAACAACACTGATGAAAAATACTCCATTTAAAAAAAACATACACTTTCACCTCTTTACAGAAAGTTTAAATATTTATTTTAATGATCATACTGTCAAACCTTCCTTCACTTTCATCACATCATCTTCATTTTCTAAATCACACCATATTCATAACTAAAAAAATTCCAAATCCAAATCTAAAACAAACAAAAATCACTCAAGAAAACAAATCCCTTGATAAGATACAAAAAATAGCTTTTAAAAAAGAATATAAAAGGTAGCACCTAGAGTCACTTGTTATGATTTTTACCAAATACCATCGATGAATCATGCTTCCTTTGCATTAAATAGCTATTTTGAAACGATGAAAGCACAAGGAACCAACTGATGGACCATAAAACATCCCAACACAACAAGTTATAATGCTAATTAAATTAAAATTTTCACCAAAATAGGTCCCTTTTACCTGAATACAAAATTCATCAAAACAGCTTACTCAAGGTTTTCTTTACTTCTCTCATTTGTAGTTTCAAATTCTTCTCACAAATCCCTTACCTAAAAATATCAAGTGGCAGCATGTGTTATAGCCATTTATTGTGTGCAAAAAATGTGGTTCATATAGTGTCTTATTCACTTACATATCTTGATTAGTAGTGAGACGTAAAACAACCTATTTACCATTCGTTTTAATACCTTCCACAAGTTCTTCAAGAATTCCTTCATATTGATCAATGAGCATCTTCTGTTCAAAAAATCTTTTGATTCTATATTGAAAGTAATCTTTCTAGGGTCCTACTCCATGATCGAGCTCTAAGATTCATGGATTTTTTTCATATATACTTTAATGCTTGTATTTGATGAAAGCTCACCAGCCACACTAGAAGAAGCATGATTCAAGTAATAGGAATAATACAAACAGAAATAAGTAATTTGACTTGGAACTTGGCTAAAAGGGATAAACTACAATTCTTGATTATTAATCACAGGACTGTAAAGTTTCAAGTAAACTTGAACCGGTGAAAATAATCATTTTTTGGATATCTCCATTGTTGTCTCCCCATAAGTATTGAACTTTGTCACTAAGCATACTTACAAGGTTGACATCTGTTGGCAAAGAAGAAGAATAAATTTATGTCAGACATGTAAAAGAAACTAAAAAGAAAAGAAATGGATAAAGAATGAGTATCTTATTAAGCTATCTACATTTATGTAACGCCCGTAGATCCGGGCTAGTCAATTTAGAGAAGATTAGCATCAAAAACGACTTTTTGATAGAATATTATTTAGAATGAATAATCTCAACTAGGTTATAGTGGTCGTGACAAGGATTCCGGATATATAAAGAATGCCGAAATCCGAGTTATAACGAATAAGTTATGACATGTCGAAGTTTCGCGACAGAACCGGCACGACACAGCGCGACGTAAATAGTGAATTTACGATAGAGTGATATTTGGCCTTAGTGATCTAACCGAAAGTCGTAGAATACGTTAAACCGAGAGCGTGCATAAAAAGAACGTCTAAATCTGACTTCGTATGAGGAAGTTATGATTTTTCGAAGATTCGACTTAGCGGTATGCAGCCCAAAGTTTGAATATGAGATCGAGTGGTTTCTAGCTGAAACAATATAAATGAGAATCGAAGATCTCGTCGATAGTAGTCCAACGGTAAAAAGACAGACGAAAACGGACGTCAGATGAAGGAGTTATGAATTCCTAACAGAGTTTTCCTGTCCCGGCCTACTAAAAATAATATAATAAAAGTTAAAGTCAAAATTAGCCATCGGAGTCTAAACGAGAGTTGTAGAGCATAATCTCATCTACGCGTAGATATAAAGAACGTCGAAAACGGAGCTCGTATGCGAAAGATATGAATTTCTGAAGTTCGGGGCGCGAACCCTGACATTGTGTCAGAGTTCACGACGTGAATACAGTGTTCACGACGTGAATACAGTGTTCACGACGTGAACTCAGTATTAATGACTTCTGGAGCCTGATAGACGCAAGTTGCGCTGACGCACCTGATGACTACCAAACTCACGACGTGAATTTTGAGATTCACGACGTGAATCCAACAAAATGGCCCTATAAATAGAAACCGAAGGGCAGCCGGCCATAGCTGCTAATTCCTTCTCTCTCTCTCACTCCCGATACCCTCTCTAGCCCTCTTGAAGTACCCCCGAAGTCCCGATATCATCCTGAGACCCGAAGCGAGTCCCGAAGCTCCGAAGATCCCCGAGAAAATAGTTTCAAGCCGAAGCTCTGCCCGCGAGAAGCCCGGTGTGTGAAGATATCCCGGTTTCATAGAAGAACTTCTACTTGAAGAGTCGTTGTGCTGTCCGACAATCGTCTTAACAAGTGAGTGTGTAGTTACTTTCTTCTAACACATAAATATGAAGTATTTGCTATGAAATACGTGCTATGTGTTTGCATATTGTTGTTTATTTGAGATGAGTGTGGAATGGATGTTTTATATAGGTTTTAAATGAGTTAAACTGTATATATATTTTTGTATCTACAAATATGTTGGGTAGAACATGGATAGATAAGATTGTTGGTGTGTGATAAAAGATGAGTTGGATAATGAGATAAAATTGAGGAGGTTAGTTTTAGATCCGGGAGTATGGATCAGATCAGGAGGTTAGTTTTAGATACGGGAGTACGGATTATGTATTTTTGAACTAGACGTTCATCCGATAAGGTATCATGTGCATAGTCCCTTTCATGGACATGATTTTAATACAAGTATTGATTAAAGTATTAAATATATATATTGTATGTGAAGTATTTGTTATTGCCCGAAATACGTGCTAGATATATTTGATGATATGCAACGTGCGAATCAGTTATGGTTCAATATGTGTTAAGATGTGAATATATGATATTATTACTTAAAACTCTGTGTTAAGTATACACTAGTTAGCGTTGCCTAAACGGAGATAGTATCGAAAATTGATTATAAACTTCGTAGGTTTGCCTAGTGATGGGTTAAGACTTAAAAAGGGATGTTTAGTTCAATTAAGTTTGGACATTGGGTAGCCTCTTATTAAGAGTACGTATGTGGTGAGATCGATGATCGGTGGAGTACGTCTTACGTACAAAAGTACATTTTATGTACGAAGTCTTTTTCAAAGCCATGTGTCTTTGGTGCTGCTTGCGCCGAGGTATTATTATGTTCTCGGGTACGAGTCCTACGCATACCAGAGTACTATAATGTGCCATAAGTACTATCATGTACAAAGTCTTTTTGACACTATTGTGTGTCGGTTACGGGAGCGTACGAGAGTACTCTATTAGTATTTCCCCATACTTTTTATTTTTATTTTGAAAGAGCTTTGGAGTCATCGTTTCTTTCTGTTATGAAGTGATCGAACGAGCTTCATATGTCAGCGTTTCTTTTCACGAAGTAATTGAGGGAACTTCGTAGACTGCCTAATACAGTGTGTCGGTAATAGACCACTAATAGGTATGCCTGGTGTTATATTGTTGGATAGGGTGAGTCTGGGGGTAAAATACCTCACGATACACTTGTAACATCCCAAAAATACCAGCTAAAAATTTCATTTTTAAATTAGGTTAGTTCATAAAAACATCGTTACAAAACATTCATAATATTAATTTATGTCTGAGAACCGGGAACATCATAGTAAAATATTCAGAGTACATCCCAGAAAATCCATAGTGCGGAAAACATGAGAGTGTGTGATATGCCGCTACCGCGCCGGCTCCTTTCCCCTAGCTGAAGAGGTACCTGAAAACAAAACTATAAAATGTAAGCATGAAGCTTAGTGAGTTCCCCCATAATGCCACATACCATGCAATCATATAATGAATAGCTAAGGGATACGGGCCTCGCCCACACCCATAGAGATACGGGCCTCGCCCACACTCTACTAGCTAGGAGATACGGGCCTCGCCCACATTCTACTTTCTGAGAGATACGGGCCTCGCCCACACTCTACTTTCTGAGAGATACGGGCCTCGCCCACACTCTGCTATCCATGGAGATACGGGCCTCGCCCACACTCCGCTACTAAACCATAACATACAAGTATCACACAGACAACAAGTATAAGCAATTCTATCATACTGGCATATAACACAATCAACTCAGCTATGAGATACGGGCTCCGCCCACACTCCGATACTAACATATCGTCTATACGGGCCGGCCTTGGTGCCTTAGACCCGTCCCTACTGGAAGGAAACTCACCTCGAGAGTAGCTGCCGAAAACCTGCTCAGACTACGCCTGGCTGCCGCACCGGTAATCCCTCCGGCTATAAATCCGTAAACATGGATTAGGTACTCATAAATACCCCTAAGGTCAAATGGCTGGTCAAAGTCAACTCCTTGGTCAAAGTCAACCTTCTGATTGACTGGACTCGCCAAGTCCATATGGCGACTCGCCGAGTCCTTCTATGTCTAGCCCGACTCTGACTCATCGGGTCCCTGTTCCCACTCACTGAGTCAGCCTGACTCGCTAGACGGGGACAACTAACAAACCCGCGACTGGACTCGCCGAGTCCGACGAACAGATCTCACAAATCGCTCCAATCTTCCACCCAACATCAACCTTGGAGGTTTGGAGATTCTGGGACTATAGCTACACGTTAAATTGCTAATTCCACGTGCGACTACGGAGGGTTGGACCTCCTACCCTTAAACCCTTCTTATCCTAGTGACTGTTCATATGACTCGCCGAGTTGGAAGAACAACTCGTCGAGTTCAAGGCTATATTCAAGGGACTCGCCGAGTTTGAAGAACGACTCGCCGAGTACCAGACAATCTTCGTAGGACTCGCCGAGTTGTTTATCCAACTCGCCGAGTCTATGGCCAACTTCATGGCACTCGCCGAGTGCACTTTGGCACTCGCCGAGTACCCTTCGACTCTTCACCCATTCTGGCCAAATCTGAGACATGCAATGGTTCCAAACCATAAATCTAAGCTCCTAGGGCATAAACACACGGAGTTTGGGAGGTTTAAGGTCTTGAAATCCACATATAAGGGACAAAAAGGGAATCTATTATACTAAGGATTAAGAAGGAGCTTTCTTACCTGGTTAGGAGCTTATCCCAGGGTAGATTTCGGATCTACCACACTTCCTTGCACCCTCCAACTTCCTCCTTCTTCTCTTAAGCTTCAAACTTCCTTCACCAAGCCAAAATCACTCCCAAGGATCAAAATGGGCTAGGGTTTCGCTCTCCAGTTCTTCTGGAAGAGAATGGGACGAAATGGGTGTTTTAGAATGGGTAAAATAGGGTGCAATGTCTGAAAATAGAGTTTCATCCAGACAGGTGGACTCGCCGAGTCCATGCATCGACTCGCCGAGTCCATGCATCGACTCGCCGAGTTCACCGCTCAAATCCCGTGTCCACCCTGCTGCTACTCGGCGAGTCGGGACGCAGACTCGCCGAGTCCGTGGCAAAAATAGGATAAAAACTTAAATAAAATCATACCATGAACCCGGTTTTACAAATCTCCCCCACTTATTTTAGACTTCGTCCTCGAAGTCTGCCGCTCCCTTTCGGAACAGCTCCGGATAATGCTCCATCATCTCATCCGCGGGCTCCCAAGTCCATTCTGAGCCCTTCCGATGCTGCCATTGCACCTTCACCAGCTCCACCCTTTTGTTCCTCAGTTCCTTCGACTTCCGGTCTAGGATAGCCACACGCCGCTCGATATAATTCAGGCTGTCATCATTCTGGATGTCCTCCAAAGGTACCACTGCTGAATCGTCC